TCAGCCCGTTAGCCCGTCAGCCCGTTAGCCCGTCAAACTATCAGCCCTTTAGGCGTCACTTCAGTGTGTATTCATATGGCACTTAATACATTGGGCGATGGCTCGGCGCACGGCATTCACTCGGCTCGTTCGATTAGCGGCAGATGCAGCATCTTAATCACCGATCAAACGGAGCATACAACAACGCGTCAACTCAGCGACGGCAAGCACCGACAGCACCGACAACAGCGAAAACAACGACGTCAGCGACAACGATTACACGGGACGCTCACGCGGCAGCTGCGAACACAACTGGAGTCAACGAGAACGGCATGCGAAGTGGCGACATGTCGATAACGAGCCGCTGCCACAGCCACAGCCGTAGTCGTAGTCGCAGCCGAAGCGGGCGCCACACATAGCCGAGGCACGAGACGAGCTCAGGCAGAGCACGATTTATGGCAGAGTGTGTTGCATACTTTTAAGAGCGCGCTCGCCTTATGGGTGTGTTCGGAGAGCGTTTGGGACGCGGCGCATGCGCAGTGCCGGCTACAACAGCGACACACCAACAGGCAGTCTAAGAGAGACAGCGAGAGGGAGAGCGCGAGTTTATGGCGTGCTTCCAATGCCACAGTTAGCTGCTGCTCATTTGCATGGCACAGGGTCCCAAAGCGAAAAAGTGTTTGTCCCAAGCCAAACAGCTGTTGAGCTACTGAAATGAAGCCAATGGAGCAGTGGGGCTAAACGTTAATGCACGCCAGTCAGCCACGTCCTCGTCCTTGTCGTCGCACTCGTGACGCACTCGTTGTGGCATGTCTTAGGTCAGAAATGTCGTCGTGGCTGCCACTGCCACTGCCACTGCGACGCCAGCTGAGGCAGAGACGGTGGCAGAGACCGTGGCTGCGGCTGAGGCTGCGGCAATCGTTGTTTGCCGGCAAAAGGCAGCATTTTTAATTATGATAAATGCCCATTCATAAAATGGAATGGCATTGCAGTTGCGTGTCACGGCTGTTTCTGCTGCTGCCGCTTCTTCTTCTTCTTCTTCTTCTTCTTCTTCTTCCTATATATACTTACAAAACGAGACTCTGATATAATATATACTGCATAATTATTTGTTTTATCTATGTCTGGCGGAACGCGCTCGCCGTCTTCTGTTATGGGCGGCCCTCTGCTCTGCTCCGTCTATTTGGGCTGCTGTGCAGTTGACAGGCAAGATTTATGCGGCCTGCAGCCCGGTTCATATGGTGCTGCTCTGGCAGCCCTGCCCCAGCTCCTGTAACTGTTGCTGTAGCTGTAGCTGTACCTGTGCCCGTGCCAGGTGTTGATGTGCCAGCTGTGCTTCAATAACCATCAGCGTCACTTAATAAACTCACATACAGCACGGCGTGTGATGAATTGTTGCCATTTTTGCAGCTGACGTCAATGCTTTCAAGTGCAAAGGCATTTAACAAGCGCTCGACAGCAATTAAATCCCATCCAAGCCAATTGACAGCCAATGAAATAAAATAAACAAATAAACAACACACATACACAAATCATTCGTAATTGTCCAATTTAATAATTAAGTGGCCAATTGAGTGCTAATTATCTGTGTTTAATTGGCTTAAGACTTCAGCTACGTTGGCTGGCATTAGCTAGTTGAGCTATTTCTACTTCAGGCACGGCAGAATGCTCTTAACAACAATAATTTATGTAAATCAATTGATTAATTTTATTTAAATGAAATCTTTAGTTTTTCATGATTAAGATCAAGATTAAATTATTATTTAAATAAAATGCCTGTGTGGAGGAATAAAGCACTCTTTTATTTTCATTTTTTTTACCTCTCCCAACAATGCTTTTATCTTCTTCATCGAGCGCTGCTATAGCTCTACTGTGCACTCTTTATATACTCCTGTAAGTAAGCCGAAGGAGTGGCAAAAGCTGGCTCAATGCAATGTTCGACCAGGCGAAACCAAATTGACCAAAGCTAATTCAAGCAATGTAAATGGGACAATGCTCGACGAGGGAAGGGAGGAGAGGGGAGACGGAGGCCAGGCCAACTCGAAGCTAGAGGCTACGTAGAGATTTTAGGTTGTAAGTGCGGGCAAATGCAATAGTGCAAATCAATTGGCGCGCCAACAAACGCTTCAATCAATTTTACTTTGGCAAACAGTGAGTGCAAAATAAATCACATCAGTCGAGTCCGACTTGCAAGATGCTCGAAGATGCAACGGGCGAATGTATGTGTGTGCGTGTGTGTGTGTGTGCATGTGTGTGTGTCTTGCGCACACTCGTGTTTATCTTATTTATGCAAAGCTGTGGCAAGCAGCAGCAACAGCAACAACAGCAACAATTGCAGGCAAAAGAAAGAGAGAGAGAGAAAGGCAAGTGGCTTGGCAGCATCCGTCGCTCGCAAGAGCTGCTAAAAAATGAATGAATTCAATGAAATGCGGGCAAAGGTGCCCGTTTGCACCCAACTCAAGTCGTGGCCCACAGCGGTCGACTTCAGGATGTGTGTAGCGCATCCTTAAAGAAGTCCCAGGCAATGCCACATCAAACATCTCAAACGAAATGAATAATTTATAGACGCATTTGCGGAGCGCGGCTCCAGGGGCAGCAGCATAAGATGGGTACGAATGTGAGCGGATAAGGCTGGGGTACACACACACACACACACACACACACATATGTCGCGTAAGCCGACTGCAGCCACTGACTCTCAATTGAATGAAAAAAATGTCCTCTAATGCCACGCATACACTAGTGCAAACACACACACACACACACACTCACAGAATATGCAGGCATGCATGAACAAGTCAGGCCCAACTAGCTCTAGACTCCAGTGAGTGGGTGCAGTTGCGTTTACATGTGTGCGTGTGTATGTTTGTGTGTTCTTGTATGACAAAATAAAATACCAAAATGCATGGACTCTGCAGCATTTATTTATATTTTTTATCACAACTCCCTCAGCCAAGGCCCACTTACGCCGGCTTTTTCAACTACAAGGTATGCACACTATATGCATATATGCATACGCATATGCAGTCAGGCAGACGTATATTTATATTTATATACATATGTGAATATATGTATGTACATATATGCAAGATGCACACATATAAATGTATTCGAAGTCACTGACTCAGCGTGCTCTGCTCTGTTATTTTGTCTGGCGGAGGATTCCCTGCACTTCCATACTGTCACAGTCTAAACAATTTAATATACATATTCATGCATAATAAATAGACTTTCAGTACGTACAATATGATCTAGTCAGTCAATCCAGGATTAAGAACAAATACATGCAGAAAATAAAAATATATATATACGAGAATTTTATATATAAGATTATTCGGCTGTCGAAGCTGTCAAAACAGCCTGTATTATATATAATTCCAGGTTTACAGAATATTTTAATAATTTAAAAGAAAATCTCTGGTAAAGACACTAAAACCTAGTACAAACCTTCAAATGATTTTATTTGTTATTGTAATATTTGCATGCCTTAAGCCTCATTTTCAAGTTCTTTAATCGTTCCATTTGGACTTACAGCTGTGGCCTCCCACACAGCTTCGTCTTACAACATACTTTTCATTCATAAAGCAACAACTCTGGCCTAACTAGGCACGCAAAGTTGAGCCAAACATACACATAATGTAAATCATCCACGACACATGTCAGATTTCTGCGATGCATGTCAAGCATGTAAGAGATACATAGAGAAACTAACCTTATATAGGTAGCTCACACACTCCCGGCAAAAACTTAACTTTCGCCTCTTCCATGGCATGGGAAAAGTTTGCTCAGCTTAGCCCTGACTCCTAATGGCATCAAATTCTCAAGTGTTGTCAATTAAAACGATTTTCCAATGAACATTTTGACAGAGCATGTTGTGCTGCTTCCGTCTTCCGTCTGCTTCCGTCTTCCGTCTTCCGTCCTCGGACTATTCGTAAAGTTTGTGCCAAAAGTTATAAAAAGATTTACTTATTTATTTTTGTATGCTTCTTATATGAAAAGTTCATCTCTTGAAATTGTTTGAAGCTGGCAAAATATTTATAGCTCATCTCAATGGATAATTCTCAGACTTGTTTGATTATTTTGATATGAAGATAAAAAATGTTTTGATACAAAGGACCCCTCCTCAGCATATCCAAGCACTTCTCAATTTTCCCGTTAGTGGAGCTTGCGGTGTCGTCAAAGGAAAGTTTAAATAAATGACTGCCGAAAACTTTGCTAATCTGCTTTAAAAATCCCAGCAACAAGCAAAAAGCAACAAGCAACACGAAATATGAAATATGAATTCTGAAATGTGAGATATGAAAATGGGAGAGAATGGCAGGGAACCGGCTGGGGCGAGGGGAAATGTGACAACAGTTGACTTTGACGCGGCGGTTAAAACCCGCAAAATTCGTCAATTTAAATGGAAAAAATATCTGCGCAAAGTTTGCGTCAGTGTGAAAAATATTAATTTAACTTTTTGCGTTAACAGAGCAATGACATTTGCCCCAAACCGCAAGACGCCCCAAAAGCTGACGCCCCTCTTCTAAGCCTTGTTTGATGATTTTTTTTATCTCTTCTTCTACTTCGTGTGTCGATTGTTGTTGTCCTTTTTGTCGCCAAATGCTTGTCTATTTAGAGATGGCAACAGGGGGAGGGGGGAGGCAGGTGGCAGTGGACAGGCGGCCTTTGAGGTTGTTGGCCATGTTGTTGGCATCATTATCGTAAATTTTTATGCTAAATACATTTTGCTGTCAGGCCCCAAAAACCGAAACCGAAACAGAAACCGAAACAGAAACAGCAACAGCGAGAGCAACCCAAAACACCAACAGATACAACAAAAAATGGCGCCATTTGGAGCAGCTGGCGTCACGTGGTTGCAAATGGTCAAGCACACGCCCCCGACTGGAAGAATAACACAATCAAGGCGTTTCCCTGTCTTCCCTCACTGCGACAAATGCAAATGAACTGCTGCTTAACGCTAGATCGTTTCTGCTACGCCCTTATGGCACAGCCCCCACACCCGCCACTTCCCCCTTCCGCGCCTCAGCGAGCACATTTCGCACAGATTTCGTTTTAATGCTTTTCTTTGACAAGCAGATGCTCGTTGCGCTTAATAAACAGAGAGATGTCGGAGTTGAAGCGGCGCATATTCTTCGACTCGCGCCAGCCAGCGACCGAGCCAAGCCGCTGGCCAAGCCTGGTCATCTTGTTGGTCAGATCGTAGTGCAAGTCCATGGCCCTGCGCTTGGCCCCCTGGAGCAGCTTGAGGGCGTCGAGCTTGGGCTGAGTATATTCCGCTCTCATCACGAACTTTTTGATCTCCCGCTGGGTGTGCTCAGCGCTCTCCTTCAGGTAGGCCTTGCAGTCGACCCAGTCGTATTTGACCTTCTGCAGATGATGGTAGCGTTGCCTGCACAATGCCTGCTCGTGCTCCACATTCAGTTTGAACGAGTTCAGCTCGTCCAGGCGGCGCTGCAAGATCGCTCCCGCCTTCAGGTCCCGGCACAGGCTGTTGCGCAGGTATTTCAGCGACAGGTCGATGGCCTTGCAGCTGAGCTGCGCCTTGCTCAGCTGCTGGCGCAGCAGGTGGTTTTCCTGCTGCAGCTTGTATATGTGCGGATGGACCTTGCCCCGCTGCAGCTCCAGCTCCATGTTTACGCAGGAGTCGTCCGACGGACATTCCGGCATGTCCAAAGCGATTTCCTTACCGATGAGATCAACGGCGTTCTTTTGCTCCAGTAGCTCGGCTTCTATCTGCTCGAGCTCCACCGGCTCCTCGGGCTTCGTTGACTGGCCAGCACTTGCCTCCTCCTCCTCCTCCTCCTCTCCCTCACCATCCGCATCCTCCAGCTCATCAACCCTATCAATACTGTCGCAATGTAGAGTCTTCGGTGGTATTGGTGGCTCAATTTTTCTGAAGGACACTTGTTCTACTATGGATACGTGGGTATCCTCCGGCTCACAGATGGGCAGTCCGGGCGCCCTGCAAGTAGGCAACGATTCTGTTGACTCCATTGTCTTTCCCATCGCAAATGAAAAATAAAAACAAGAAGTGTGATAAACAGTTGTTGATTGCAAATTTAATATAGACTATTTTCTTGGAAAATCTAAAACAAACTAAGGCTTTTCCAAACGAAAAAATGTGTAGATCGAATGTTGAACTTTAAAGCAGAGTCAATCCCATTGTAGAATTTACAAATTCGGTACTCAATCGGTGTCTTCTGCTGGAAGTTTTCCATATGAGACATTTGAGAAAGAGTCTAGGATTCTTATATAGATGAAGTTTATTTTCTGTAATCTAAGACTTTAGAAAATATTCCAAGTTTAATTTAAGGTATTCTCGCAGCTCTTGTGGCAATTATGGCTGTTGCCTTTAGAGAAGCTCGACTCATTAATTTTGATTAGGTTATGCGCAATGTATTGAAGAGCTGTCCAACAGCTGGGGCTGCTAAGGCCGGCGGCTCTGTGTTCTATGCACAATGAATGGCATTTGCTAAAGCGCTTAAGGAGCACTTAACCCAGACGTAACTAACCAATGAAAACGCAAACACACACACACACAGACAGACACGAGCCAAGCACCTGAGCACGCAGCAGGGGACAGAGGTGTGCTAGAGAGGGGGACAGCATGGCAGGGCAAACACTTGGGCATGTGTGCTACGTTTTATTTCCAGTTCCAGATGGCGACCCAGATGCAGTGGCAACAATTCATCTTCATAATGAACGCCAATGCGAGCAGCAAACAAGCTTAATGCGAATTGAAAAGGACACTGAAAAGTGCATGGACAGGACAACAAATGCTGTAGGGGTTTTATGATAATTAATTAAATAAGCAATCATTCAGAGAGCGTACGAGGCAACCGCTTGACCCGCAGGTGCTCTGCAGTTGGAGGCGAATTAGCTTTGTGAATTACTTCGAATGTAAAGTAGACTAGACTAGTAGACTGCATTTATATGAGAATATTTGTTATGGCTTGGACAAAGCATTCAGCTGAGGTCGATAAGAAAAAATCTAATTAAAAGCTGTGATTGCGTACCCGCTCGCATAGCCACGGCGAAATCACAATTGTCAGCGTTAAGCTCACGCTCACCTGCGCACACGAATGCAAACACCTGTACACGCCAACGCACAAACACAAATAAACACAATTTCCCATCTAGGGGCAATAATACGCAAACAACAGCAACTGCAACACAGACAAACAGGTGAAACAGGTGAAACAGACGTGGTCTGTCGATTCGCAGAAAAACTACCTAAAAGCGAAAAACGAAAAACTTTCAAAGGCAACTTGTCTACCCATCAGCCTAGCCTGACCTTACCCACGCCCCGTCCCCCACTCTCCCCTTCACAGAGCGGCAAATGAAACGCGCTGTTGCACACAAAAATAACAAGTTTCATTGGTCAATTCATCGAATGTCGGTCACGGCTGCCTCTTGGGCACCGTCTCTCCACCAGCCGTGCATGTGCATGTGGCTGTGGGTGTGGCTGGAGGGCGGGCTGGAGCTGAAGCCACTCAGCCCAGCAGCGGGCGAGCTTAGAGGCCACGCAGCCTGTGCAACGGTGTAAAGTTCTAAACGCCCTGGATACATATGGAATGCGCTGTGGAGCAACGCAGTATATGCGAAAAATATCCCCAGCATGTTGTCGCTGTGTGTGTGTGTGTGTGTGTGTGAGGCAGTGCAGTGCAGTTCGACTGACTCGATTGGAATGAAATGAGTTTAGCTTTTGTAAATATCCATAGCTAGATTTTGTGCTGTTATGTAAAAATAAAATATGTCGAAAAAGAAATTTATGAACTACATATGCACATGCATACATACGTACATACATACATATAACATTCATAGTATCAAAATACACAAAAAATGGAATTTCAGTATATAAACAATTCGCCCTTACCCTTATTCGCAACAAGTTGAGTTTGTTCTGGATAGGAGGTAAACTTTGAATAATCCATATATGGGGATAAATTATTTGAGTTGCTGACTTCAATTTGAATTGCCCTTAAGGGAGGCTCTAGAGGGATCTAATAGATTGACACTAAAATAATTTGGATGATTTTCGAGTAGAAAAAGTGGTTAAGTGAATTAGTAGTATGGCAATGTATACATCAGGCGCAATGATTTATTCATGCCCTGTAGACATTTGGATTTCCTGTCTCTCTGCCACGGAATATCCATTTGAATGGTGTAAAAGTTTGCTCTAACTGCTACTTAAATTCACCTGTTTTATCTTTACTGCATGTCGAAGAGCTAACAGAACTCTAGGATTTATTTCTCATGTTCGTTCATTGTGTTCGATGGGGACATACAATATGCAGACTAGTTCAATTTTTTTTTTTTCTTTTTTTTTTTTTGTGAATGCTTTTACTGACCACAATTGTCAATCCATTGGTCAATTGAGAAATAAAATACTGCATCTCAAGCAAAGTATATATGTATATAGTACATCTACTATACAGCTATGTTAAGTATATGACTGTACAATGAGGAATAGAGGAATATATACGTGTGTATGTATATAAAAATATATATGTGTATAAACACATATATTCGTTTGGGATACTTAAGCACGCCCATCAAAATGAGGCGCGGCACACAATAAATCTTCGTCACGGTCCCCAAATTGACATTTTACAGCGGAGACCAATAGAGGACAGAGTAACTGACAATCGCGTTTTAGCCAACTGTTGTTGATGTTGTTGTTGCAGTTGTTGTTGCAGTGGCTGTCACTGATATTGTTGTCAACAATGATGGCCCAAAGCATCAGCCACATGCGTTGCGGCAACAACTCATCCATCGTGCAGCACTCTTCCTTACACACACAGACATACACACACACACACAGCCATACGCAAGTGCACATGGAAACTGTCAATCCCAGGACACTGGATATGGAGCACTGACGCTCGTTGGGCTGTTCGCCATCATTTATTGGCAAAACTCCTCAACACTAGCAAAAAAAAAAAAAAAATTGTATATCATGCAGCATGTGCGTATGTGCATCTGTGTTTGTGTACGTCTGCGTGTGTGTGACAGTAATAGAGTTATCCTGCTGTCGTTGTGTATAGAAAGCATCGCATTATCCTCTGCTCCGGCCATAATAATTGAAATCCTCCACCAAACTACTGGGTGCCATCTTAACGACCCTTTGTGACGACCCACTGGCAGCGCTTTGGGGTAATCCGTCAGCTAGTCAAACGCCGGATGGCAGCGCGATGAGCATTTAAGAACCTTAATGCAAAAATGCATTACTCGTAATGCGTCCATGGAAAGAAAACAAATATTCGTGGCTCGCTTGAGAAGATTCAAGAATAACTTAGAGAGAATTGAAGATATTTAGTAAGGAGGTACAATATATAGAGAATGCAACATAATGACATCTCCATTAATTAAAAAAAAAAAAAAA